AAAAAAAAAGTAAAATCTTTAAAAATAAAAACAATTCCTCAAGAGACAGAACACCCACAAGAAGAAAAACTAGGAAAGTTTACCACCCATAGATCTTGAGGGGTGTATTTTAGAACACAGGAAAGCTATCCCAAGAGGTAGATCAGCAGGTGAAATGACACATATCTGGGTAAAAAAATGTAAAGGCCCGATCTGAGCTTTAAAAAAATGAGAACTGAAGCAGTAAATACTGAAATGGGATTGGAGCCTTTGCACTTTGCAAGAGGGTGGGGATTACCTTTAGGCTATATTAAGGACTTCTGGGAACGCTGGTAGGATGTAGAGGGGAACCCCGGACAGGGACAACAAAAAAAAAATGCAAAAAAGGAAGATTAGTAAAAGCAGGATAAGGAAGGAAAAACCAGAGAGAGGGTAGACTCTCAAATATTACTCATCCAAATAAGCATACATGGAATAATCGTGACAGTTACAAGGTTTTTTTAAATTTATTTTTTAAAAAAACTTATTTAGAGAGAGTGCAGCAGGGAGGGTCAGAGGGAGCGAGAGAGAATCTCATGCAGACTCCCTGCTGAATGTGGACCCCCGACACGGGGCTCGATCCCACGACCCTGAGATCATGACCTGAGCTGAAACCAGGAGTCAGATGCTTAACCCACTGCGCCACCCAGGCGCCCCACAAGATTTTTTTTTTTTTTTAATCCACGTCTTTGCTGGTTAAAGGACTTCAAGTCCAGGATACGTGAACGTTGCAAGTAAAAGAACAAGACAAGAAAATCAGATGCAATACTTGATCTGGAACATTCCACGTGTCACAACCCTAAAATCTCAGCATGACGGGACCACGGGAGATAGTCCGAGCTCCTCATTGAGCAGCTCAGAAGCAGTGGGAACAGATGTTCTTTTTAAGCACAGGACGTTTCTCAGAATTGACCAAACCCAGCCACAGGGGAAATCTCCAGGCCCCAGAACCAGGATCCTGCAGGCTGCGTAGACGAAAGTTCAGGGAGGTTTGAGAACAGTGAGGAAATGTTGACTGAGACCCACGACTGTGGAGCTGGGAAACCGAGCACGTGGCCAGTAAGTAGCCCCACCCCCTTCCTCGTAGTGCCCGGCTTCATTCGTTCTGGCTGCTTCTCTCTTCTCACTCCCTCTGCCTCCCAGAGCCCCAGGACCACCAGCACTGCCTCCGCCGTCAGCCCTCTGGAGGGGCCCCCGTGCCCCAGTCCTGACCCAGCCCCTCGGTCTGAAGCCCCCCATTGCCGCCTCAGGGGCTGCTGAGACCAGCAGCCACCAAGGGCCCTCACCCCACTCGGTCTGCTGACCTGCCCTGCGGCACCCACCACTTCCCCACGGCCTCCCCTCTCACGGCCCCTTCATTTAATTCACCTGACTTCCAAGTTTCTCCCCCAGCTCCCGATGCTCCTCTGCGCGCCCATTCTCTGTCTCCGGGTCCGCCTGACGTTCCCAGCTTCTGTGAAACTATTGGGAATCAGCCCCGCTTCCCTCCCCAAAGTACCTTTCTGGAACGTTTGCCTATCGCAGTGGGGGGAAACTCAGGGTGGAAACCGTGCCAAACCCTAGGGAGTCCCCTCGCTCCCTGTCCTCCTTACCTCCAAGGAAATATCCAGAATCCTCCCAAGATGCTGCCTGCTTTCCTCTCCCTCCAGTTTCCACCCTTGTTCTGATTCTCTTTTCCCCATAGTGGGGCGATGACACTGAACAGCGCAAATCTGACATCGTAGAGAAGCCACCCCCACCGCCCACCTCCCACCCCCCACCCCGCCAAATACTGGTTTTGAGTGGGGAGGGGTGCTTGGAAGCTTGTACAGAAAAATAAACCAGCATCATCGGGAAAGTTCTGGTAAGGTGCATGGCGGGGTACCGATCCTCGAACGTATTAAACCTACTATAAAAGTATAGGAACTGAAACAGTGCGGAACAGAGCTGAGTCCATAAATGGAATAGACTGCAGTCCTAAAGATCACTGGGAGCAAAGAGCTGTCAGAAATACTTGGTAACCATCTGGAGAAAAGAGCAAACTTGTGTATCTCGAATCAGCCCGAGGCCAACTTCCGATGGATCAGATGCGAGGCCGAAGCAGAAGCTGTGAAATAAAACCCGAGCCGAAAAGGGAGATTGTGGCATCTAGCACCTGAGCCATGAGAAGAGTCTAGAAGCCAGGAGCCCCCACCTCTGCTCCGTCTAGAGAACCAACAGGCAAAAACGGACGACAAAGGACAAACCTGAGGGCTTATCTCTGGGGGCTTATCCCTAACCTCACAGATCAAGGGCTCCTGCCGGTGGTAGCAGCCAGAGAAAGGGCAGCAAGCCACGGAAAAGTGGGCAGAGGATGGGACGCGCGCTCCCAGGAAGGGACATGCAGTGGCTCCAGCCCAAGGAAAGAATGAATTAAAGTGACTGCGGTCATCTTGAGGGAAGTAGGTTCCTATATGAAAGGGTCTCTGAGCCAGAGTGCTCCGCAAGACGAGGGGATGCCCGGGGTGGTAGCTCACGCCGTGAGCTAGGATGTGTGTGAGATACCTGCAAGATGTGTGTGAAATGCTGCACGGAAGCAAGAAACCCAGGTTGATTTCCAGGAGTGGCTCAGGCAAACTGTGAGTTCTCTGTGCTTTCTGATGTCCAGATCGTGAGAATACAGTAGCAGCTCAAAAAACTTGGTAACAGGTGTACGTAAGCCGCACCGTAGGACCCACTTCTGCAAAGACACGGATAGACCGATGCGCAGAGGCAGGAGGGGGCTCCCCTAAGTGGGAACAGGAGTAGCCAATGCCATGACCAGTAAGCGGCAGTGAGATGCTGGGTCAGCGCCAGCAGGCACTGGCAAAGGCACCAAGGAGCAGGGGCGGAAACCCTTGTCGAATCTGGTCAGGTGGGGTCCTGGGCAGACCCCGAGGCGGAACCCGAGATCTGCCACCAGCGCCGGCAGGGAAAATAGAATATATGGAGAGCGGTGGTGCACACGGCAGCAACCTCGGTCGACTTTGGGGAACACTGGGGTGCAGAAGACATCTTTTTTAATTTTTTAAGATTTTATTTATTTGAGAGCAGGAGAGGGAGAAAGAGCACAGAGGGAGAGGGGGAGGGAGAAGCAGACTCCCTGCTGAGCAGGGCTCTATCCCAGGACCCCCGAGATCAGGACCCGCACTGAAGGCAGACGCTTAACTGACTGGGTCACCCAGGCATCCCCCAGAAGACATCTTTATAGTTTGAAATATGCAAACCATACATTATTTAGAAATTAGGGGGCTTGGGGCGCCTGGGTGGCTCAGTCGGTTAAGCGTCTGCCTTCAGATCGGGTCATGATCCCAGGGTCCTGGGATCGAGCCCCCACATCGGGCTCCCTGCTCAGCGGGGAGCTTGCTTCTCCCTCTGCCGGCCGCCCCCCCTGCTTGTGTTCCCTCTCTCTCTCTCTGTGTCAAATAAATAAATAAAATCTTTTAAGAAAAAAAATTAGGGGGCTTTCTCTGGACTTAACCTGGACACTTACCATATTGATTCAAGTTTTTAAAACACTGCATAACTTGTTTTCAGAATGTGGAAGGAATGTAGGGGCTGTGGCAGATGGAGACAGAGGCCAGTGGATGGAGAATCACAGAGGCTGTGAAGACTTTCCTTGTTGGGCTGTGAGCCAGCCAGGGCCACCGGAGCCAGGGAGGAGCCCTACTCTGGGCCGAGTGTCAGGGAGCTCTGGCCAGTTTTGCCCACTCTCTGGAAGGGGAGGAGGATAAAGTGCAGGGTTTATCCAGACCCAAGTGGTGGGGTTAAATCAGGCGGAGGGCTTTTGCCCTCCAGCGGCAGTGGGTAGCTCCAGAGAGAGGAGAGAAGAGGGTTTAATTGGGAGGAGCAGGGACGCCATGCCCACTAGGCGGAAGGCAAGGTCTTATGGCCGTGTGGGCAGGGAGGAAGGACCCAGGTGGGCCGCCGCCTGGCAGGAAAAAGGGATGTGGAGGGCGATGCGGGCAAGACAGGGCGGTATGCGGGGCATGGGGTCCCGGGGCTAACCTGGGCCCGGTTCTGGCCCCCAGGAAGCCGCTGAGGAACGGCCTGGTGAAAGACAAGCGCTTCTGAATTCCTTGATCACCGTCCCACCCCTTAGGACCCAGCCTCGCCCGACCACGCCCCCCAGGGACCGACCACGCCCCTCCTCCGGGACTCTGGTTCCGTCCCTCCCCGCCCCACCTGGGCCCTGGCCACTCCCGGTCACCTCCCCCTGGACTCCTGCCCCGCCCCCGGGGTCTACCCCCGTCCGGCTTCAGGACCGCGGCCACGTCCCCCGGGACCCTGACCCCGCCCAGCCCCAGACCTCCGTCCAGGCCCCTCCAGGGACCTCGGCCCCGCCCCCAGCCTGCAAGTCGAGGGTGCCCGGCGGCTCCTGAGCACTCGTCCGGCCGCCGCCAGCGAGGAAGATGCCACCGCCGCGCCGCCGTCCTGGCCGCCGCGTCCTTTTCCTCCTCCTGGCCCTGCTGCTGCCCTCACCGCCCCCAACGCGCGCCCCAGCGCCCCCGGGCCCCGCCGCCGCTCTGCTCCAGGCTCTCGGGCTGCCCGACGTGCACCGGGGCGCCCCCACGCCCCGGCCCGTACCCCCCGTCATGTGGCGCCTCTTCCGCCACCGGGACCCCCAGGAGGCCAGGGTGGGCCCGCGGCGGACGCCCCAGGGGACCACCCTGAGACCGTGCCACGTGGAGGAGCTGGGGGTCGCCGGAAACATCGTGCGCCACATCCCGGACCGCGGTGAGTGGGGCCTGCTCTGGGGGCGTGTGTCGGGGAGGCTGGACCCCGCCGTGCGCCCCGCCACGAGCCTCCAGCGCCGCGTGGGGGAAGCCAGAGCGGCTCCGAATGTCCCCACCCGTCCCGTCCAGCCCACGAGCAACCTGGCCCCCCGCACTCCATGGGCTCTGTCCCGTGGGCACCTGCGGGGACCGGCTGGAGTGGTCCCACGGCCAGGCTCCCTTGCACGGGGCAAGGCCCCTAGCTTGCAGCTGAAGCCCTGCCCCCACTCTCCGCTCGTTCCCCCCGCTGTTTCACACCATTTGATGCCTTTCCTGCAGATACCACCTCTCCAGCATCGCTTCCCCACCGGCCCCAGGCATCCGTTCATCTCTAGCCCTGGCTGGGTCCCGCCGGCAGGCCGCCCTGCACCGGGCCGGGCCTCCTCTTACTTGCAAGCGATGCCCTGCCCCCACTCCCTCATTCCCCGCCCCCTCCCCCGCCCCGCGCGCCACTTAACACCATTTGACGCCTTCCAACAGTTGGCGCCCCCAGCCCCAGGCGCTCACCTTTCCCCCGTCCGCAGCAGAAACCCCCTCGCGGGCAGGCCAGGCAGGGCGCGGGGGCGCAGCGCGAGCCCAGCCCTCTCCCTGCCTCCCCAGGTGCGCCCACCCGACCCCCGGAGCCCGCACGGGCCGCGGGGCAGTGCCCTGAGTGGACCGTCGTCTTCGATCTCGCGGCCGTGGAACCCGCAGAGCGCCCGAGCCGAGCCCGCCTGGAGCTGCGCTTCGCGGCGGCGGAGGCGCCGTTCGGCTGGGAGCTGAGCATAAGGCAGGCGGCGGAGGGCGCGGGCGCGGGCGCCGGGCCGG